AATAAATACATTTATAAATAATTAATAATTAACAAAATATGTATTTTATTATTTTATATTCTATAAATAAAAAAATAATATTTTATTATTAAATAAACAAAAATATATGAAAATAAATGATAATATTTATTATTTTATTATTCTATAAATATTATTTTATTATTCTATTTACTTTAGTATTCTGTTTTATAATTTATAAGACTATAAACTGGCCATGTTTTTCACTATTTAACATTGAAATATTTTGGTAAACTGAACTGTAATACTATGTTTTGAATAATGCAAATTTAATTATTCATTTGTAAATAAATTCATAAATTCATTTATAAATAATAAATAAAAATATTTAATATTTTATTATTCAAAGGCTTTAGAGTGGACATATATTTCTTAATAATACTATCTGAACTATAATAGTGTCCTTTTTTTTTTGTTCAACTTTTAGGACTACACTAGCTTATAAATTATGCTTCAAAATTACCACACATGGACTAAAAGCCATAAACGTTTTATTTTAATTCACATTACATCCAGTCTAAACTGGTCTCTGGGCTGAAAAGCTGAGTATATGCACCTCAGATGGAAGTCTTTTAATCATCTCATAAAAATCAAACTCTCTTATCCAGTAATGACATAATGCAATTACAGTATGTGCCTGTTAATTAAAATGACATTTTACACAGTGAACTTCCTTATTAGCACACTACACTTATAACTGATAGTGCATTCAGGAGAAAGTGCGTCATACAGTGAGACGAGCTCTGGAGAGAATATCAAGTGCTCTATAGAGAGAAGATGAAGCACACAGCTGAGGGACAAACAACGGAAATGAAATGTTTCTGAAGTCGTTACTGAAGCACAGCAGTGTTTGGAGGGAAAACAAGACATCTGTTAAATATCGTGCCTTTTGTCTGATGTATTTCCCAACACAGACACTTCAAACCTTTAAGATGGACTATAAAGCACAAGAACACATGGTCATCTAGTGCATGGTTTAACTTTATAGTGCTGATACCAGAGTGATAAAGTATTATGTGTTCCTGGATCAATATCATCTAAATGGACAAAATTCCAATGAAGAGAAATCCCTAACCGTAAAAGCGATAGTTCACCCAAAACTGAAAATTATGCCATTATTTACTCACCCTCACGTCATTCAAAACCTGTATGACTTTCTTCTGTGGACAACAAAAGATACATTTGGTGAAAAAGAACAACAGCACATCAATAAGTCAATGCACTTGAATGAACCTTCTATTTACAGTGCGACGAATAAAATGGATGTTATTTCAGCGGTGTTTTTAACTTGTTATGGACTCATTATTTGTTTGGACTCATTAAAAATGTGTCATTTTCACACCAAAAAAAATCCAAATAAAATGATCGTGTTTAGATTTGAAATAATAACTGGACACCAGCATTATTTTACTTTTATTTATATTATTATTATTTATTCATATTTATTAACTTTTTTATATTTGTTATGGGCTTTTATTATTTTCATTAGTTTTTGTTTTCTTTTTTAGTTTTTTTAAATTATATAAATAGTAATTTAAATATTACTATTTAGATTTTTACATCAGTTTTGTTTTAGTTCAGTATTAGTTTTTATTTATTTTCATTTAGTATTTTAGTGCTTCAACATAAAATTATTTCAGTTAGTTGCCAAGGCAGTATTTCTAATTTAATTAGTTAAAGTTTTTTATCTAATGCTTATATATAAATATATATAATTTTTTATTTTCAATTAACAAAATGTTAGTTTTAGTTAACAATAGCAACCCTGATGGACACACTACAGTTTAAAACATCATAACAACATACAGCAGACTGTTTCCCAAGCCATTTTTTAAAATAGTAAGCAGTATGTGCATTAGTGAAATGAGAAAAAACAACATGATTCAGCTCAGATTTAACGATTTGATGAATTAAAAAACATAAGAGGGACATAGAAGCAGAGGTCATATAGATGTCCATTGTATTCTACAGGTATAGGATAATAAAGTCCAGCTTTCAGTTTATCATAAGTACATCTTTTCATGAAAAAAAGTCATTTTAAATCATTGAAATTAATAATTTATTTTTATTTAATGATTGCTTTTGATACAAACCAAGGATTGACAGTAAATAGCTAACATAAGGACATGTGGTCTGGTTCATAACAAACGGTTTAATGCATCATAGAGCATTATACAAGCAGGTACTTTCATGCATCCGTTTCATTTGCCTTTCTTTACATCTTTGCCTTTCTTCTTCTGTTGTTCCTGGAAGAAGTCATTGCACGCAACAGTCAGCGCCGCCACCAGCACCACAAACTCGTTAAAGTCAACCTCGTTATCTTTGTTGGAGTCCAGATCGTTCATGATCTTTTCCACCAGCATAGGGTCTTTTTGAGACTAAACAAAGACAAAACAAACACAACAACTCAGCACAGCATGAAACATATGTATGCTATATTGTGCATTTACACACGAATGGTTCTGGTACTGAATGCTGATTGGTCAAAATCTCTAGAAATAGGATATATACTGTATTTTATATTTTAATATAAAAGAAATATATTTAAGATTTAAGAATTGCATTATGTACTTTTTTATTTTATAATTGTACTAATTTTATTATTAATACAATTATAATTAAATTATATATTTACAATTAAAATACAATTAAATATATATATACATTTGGCCCCATTCTATTTAAATTTTTTTTTGTTGGCATTTAATTTTCTTTCATTTAAATAAAAGTATAGAGTATAAAGTCATTACAACAAAAATTAACAAAATGTTCTAGTGTGTGTGTGTGTGTGTGTGTGTGTGTGTGTATATACTGTATAT